GTGTGTGTGTGCATGCGTGCGCATGCACGTACTTGTGTGTGTTCGTGTGTGCGCGCGTGTGTGAAGTAAAGATCACGGCTCAATGAAACGCCTCTCCTATACGAGACACAGATGCTGTCTGGGCTGGTTTAATGAAAGTGAACATCTCGGGTTACGCCATTTGAGCAAGTGTGTATGTGTGCGCGCCGATGTAGTGCTGATGTTTTGAATGTCAATAGGAGGTAAAACTTGTGTTGAAAACCCTGCTGAATTAAGATAAGGATCACACAAAAGCCTCTCTCCCTCTTTTTTACCTCCTCTTCTCCCCTTTCGATACTTGCTCCGAGCACAATGCGCCTGTTTGATGCCTTGCCTAGGTTTGAGAAGCATCACTCTGGCCTTCTCTGTTTTCACCCCTGTGACAAGCTATTTAGCAGGTGTGCGATGGTCTGTGGGTTGTTCCTCTTGAGTATCTGTATTTGTTATCAGTATATTTGCAATGATTTCTCTTTGTGCGTGTCTCTTTACAAAGAGTTGGTGTATTGTATCTTGCCAAGAGGTTTTCTTGGCAAGATAGAGGCGAACGTGTCCTCTAATCACAGGCAGGAGTTGCACTATTTTGAATACCCCCCAAAAAAACAGTGGCTATTTTCTGGAGGTGTAATTGGAGGATGTGAAAGGCAATCATGTTACTTTTACCTTCCCAGCCTCCTACACACAGTCAGAAAATGGCCGACAAAAGTACAAATACAAAAGGACAGGACTAACTTCATTTGACAGTTTCTTACATATGATACCATCTCGCTTTCAGGTTTCCGACTGGCTTTGAGTTTACACAGGTTGAACTTTCATTTCCTGGCTGCGAGTTTGCATGTCCAACAACCAACTTTGACGTTTTAAAGAGTAAGAAAGGAAGACAGTGTAGGAACAGCAGTCTGGCTAAAGCCCGAACGAGGCGTGGCATGTGTAATTCACAGTGACACCAATAAGGAAACCTGAGAGGCGAAGTCCACAAATTCAAAACAAACCTGTAAGACCTAGACTGTGTTTCAATTCCTGACACACTTTTAACCGTTTTGGGACTCAGGGGGGTGACAAAAATATAAAATGGTGAAATGGGGTGAAATAGATTCAATTTGCCACAAAATGTTGCAAAGTGATCTGCTGAAAAATTAAATTTGGACCTGAGGGCTTGCCATAGGGTAGCGTTTGTGGCAACCAGCCTATGGGCCCGGCTGCGTGTTGCATCCCTGCTGAATAGGAATGAATGTCGACAGGCTAGAAAGTGGTAATAAAGTTATTTTCAGGCTTGACAGCATACACAGTGAGGATTTGAGAAGGGGTCTCTATGCTTGCAACTATCCCCTGACTAATCAGTTGAATTTTGGAAATAAATGATTGTTGCTGTAAATGTTGCGTGAAAGAGAAGCAGGGTTATGTGTGTGTATGTGTGTGTCTGTGTGTGTGTGTGTGTGTGTGTAGGATGTTAATTGATGAGAGTTATAGAGAGCTGCTAGTAGCACAGGGGGGATCATTACTGCTGGAGTGGAACAACTGCATTCACGGCTGTTTGCCATGTCTCATACACATTTACACACACACACACACAAAACGCACATTCTGTCACAGCGCACCAACAGTCAAAAGGAACACCATCTTCTTGCTCTCTCTTGTACATCCTTTTGTCATATAGTACGACTGCTCAACCACACAGAAAAAGTCAGGTAGGGTAATTATAACACCCTAATTCCACGATGACTCCAACCAACTATAAAATGTCACTCTTTTTTCCCTCCAAATCAAACGCTTTTGTAAATCGCGAGATTTATTTTGGGTTGGCATGATGGGGAAAAACAAACAATTATCCCAGAGGCATTTCCCATCCTTGAGTCAATTTGAGGGAAAGGGGGGGAAAAAGGCGCGCAGCCACTTTGGGTTAAAGGATTTAGGTCACGCTTTAACTGACTGGCTGACATCAGAACGGTGAGACCGAAATCCTGGAGTGGAATCTCAACTTGAATCCATCCTGAATGACTGACACTTGAGAGACTGACACTGAGAAAATGAGGGGCGGGTGTCTTGCTAGTCAACCTGCCGTCCTGACCTATATTTTCATACCCTGCCTGTGCCTTTGTATGAGGAAGAGGCGTCTTTGTCTCGTCTTATGTGCTGCCGCATGTGTGCAGACACTTCCATTTGTATGCGTGGGTGTGTATGAAGGCACACATGCATGTAATTGTGTGTTTGTGGCTGTGTACGACCTTTTCATTTTACATGGGAATGTGTCTCTCCTAGTGTTCGGAGGTGCATAAATACATGCTTGAGACTGTGTGGGTGTTTGTGTGTGTTTCTGTGCACCAGGGACGAGAGTGTGTAAGCAAAATCAGTGTGTGTTTATGCTTTCTGTCAGTGTGGGGTAATGTCTCCCTCTCTCCTGCTGATGCCACATTACTTCAGTTTAGGAGCCACTGTCACTTTAGTGGCAGCATAGGCAGGTGAGACTCCACAGACTGCAGACCTCTTCTTTCTGACAAACACACACATACACACCCTCGAGAAAAAAAATCGAAATCACAAAAGTAAATCTCTTTAATTTTTGTTTTGTTTTAACCTTTAAAAACATTATTATGATTGACATAATATAATTCATAAACATTAAAAATGAGTAAGAATTACTTAAGGATTAAAAAAAATCCCTACTTAATTAATGAAACTGTCCCTTTAAATGATGTAGTAAATACACTATTCAGTTTTTGCCAGCAACCGCTAGTAGAAATTAGTAGGAAAATGTGAGAAACACACATACGCCATTTCACACACACCACACGCAAAAAAACAACCCACAACACACATAGTTGTACCTCCAGTAGCCAGGGTTTGAGTTTGCGGTCCAGGATGATGTCAAAGCCCAGGACCTCGAAGCAGACACTGTCGCTCCCTGGTGGCTGGCCGGGGCGACACATGCGATAGGCGTGCAGCACATGGGGCTCCGCCACTATTAACGTCTTCACCACTAGCTCCTGGCAGGACACACAAAAGAGAGAGAATCACCAAGCTGACAAAGAGAACACAAATCTTAGTTTTTTAGGTCCGTTTCATTTATTCAAAAAACCCATTGGCTGCAGTTTTTATAGCTGCTGATTAAAGGTCTTCTTAAACGGAAAATGGTGCAATTAGTAGTCCTGCTTTAATTGCAGGTTGCAAGACAAATGCTTGAAGCTTTACATTTAGGACAAAACTCTGACAATGGAGTAATCAAGCCATATACTAGACCTGCAACCTACAGACCTGCTCGAAAGAGACTACAATCCAGATTTATCTTCAATTTTCCTGTCTCAAGATACTCTGACTGTTTAAAAACTAAAAGTGTTACTGGCACAAAAGCTTTTTAATTTCACTCACACACAGCCTTTCACTAATGTTGGTGGTGGTCCATCTGTGTGGGTAGTAGCTCCCAACCTGTGTTTGTGTGCGTGTGATTGCATGTATGTTTGCTGGCTGCTACCTGCCTGCCTACTCCCACTGTGCAACTGGGGTAAACATGCTCACTCTGACACACACATACACACACATACACACTCTGCACAAAGCTTCCCCTCACCAGTCAAGCCCCACGCAGTGCTGCTGGCCTGCAGTTTGCTCAGTCCAGTCTGACTGCTGGGTGCAGGAGAGAAGTATGGTGGTCTGGCCCTGGCCTGATAAGGTGATCTGTCTGTCGCTCACACACCCCCATCCATCTGTCCATCCATCCACCCGTCTGACCCACAGGCTGCACAGCACAAACACCTGCTCCCACCGTTTATGCCCGAAGTCCCCAGTACTGGCTGGTGTGTGTCTGTGTCCCTGCCCCCATCAGCTCCCTCCTTATCCTGAGCCTCCAGCACTGGCCACTTTCTAGCACTGTGCATGTGTGCCTGTATTTTGTTGGGCTTAAATGTTTTTATAAGCCTCTTTGATCACTTTATTTTTTTTTAATATCACCTGAACAAATGTGTATGTTATTTTAGCTATTTTACATGTGCATGTATAATTAATTTATTTAATCTCTGTTAAAATAGCATAACTCCCATTTCTATCTCAGTGTAGTAGAGACAGCAGGATGTGCTGGGGGTTAGCAAGGTTTTCTAACCATAGGTTCCTCGGTTTAATTGACAGTATGATAAAATTAAAAAAATTAGAAAACTACAGTAAGTCAGCCTAAACTGATAAAATAAAAAAGATGAAAGGCATTAACTGGTTGGAATAAGCGTTTGTCATTAACTTAAGTTGTGTCCTGTAATACAAAGATGATTATTTTTCCAAATGGCATAAAAACGGTAACCTTGATCATTTCTGAATGTCCAAATAGGCCTTAACGGATCAAAAAAGGAGCATTAATGATTAATGTCAGTGTTTTTTTTTTTTTTTAGTATTTTTTGGGGGCTTTTATTG